TTAGGATTTTAGGTCAATTTGTAAGTAATGACTTAACTCTAAAAAATTAGGTCAATTGGTTATTAGGTCAATTTGCTATTAGGTCAATTGGTTATTAGGTCAATTGGTTATTAGGTCAATTGACCGTTTCCCGAGCTCATTATACGACATCTGTTTATATCCATGAACTCCAGGATCAATATACTATAACATTAGTGATTGTTATTGATCATAAATAATACTAATGATTGTTATTAGGCCAACCCCGGCCCGAGTTGATTGACTACATGGTGTGGCCATTCATAGAGCGAATGCCACTTTTTGCGAACTTCGCCAATGAGGACAGGGATGAGTTCATGAAGCGAGAAGTGCCCGTCATTTACGACTATTGGCGTCAACTGCTGGAGGACAGCATTATTCAGAAGGTGTGTCTGCCTTACGATCAGCTACTCGTCCACATCACGCAAAGTGTCAACAAATCTAACAACATTCACAACAATTGAATTCAAATTGAATATCAATTTTGCATTGTATAACATGCTAAATTGATGTATTTTATAATTAAATATAATTATTAATTGAGTTGTTAAAAAAATACTTTCTACAAAACATTGTGAAAAATAAATATTTAATTATAAATTAGTAACGATTGTTATTAAATCAAATGTATAATCAAGATTTTTATAACTATTATTTTTGATAAATTATAGCATTATTAAAATTATTATTGTTATCTGAATAATTAATTCTAATACGTTATTTAATAAAGAATTGTGAATGTTGTTTGTTCATAATCTAACACTTGACAATAATTGTGTTCATATATTCAATTGATTAAAAATTTATGAATATTTAGTATAATTCAATGAATAGTGTGATATTATGTTTATATGTTGTTTTTTACACTTATTTCCTTATTTTATTTTATTGCAGCGAATATACGTCAATAACCTCTCAATGAATGTCTGTTTAAGTCTGTTGTGAGTGTTTGCGTTCGTCTGACCTTTTCTTTTACTCATTGACATACTGTTTGCCTAAACGCGTTATGTTTGGGGTGCGGGTCTATTGACCTAAAAACCAATTGACCTAAACTTAAATAACGTAATGACCAGTAGGTAAATATACCTGATGACTAGTGTAAAATGTTCCCCTTGACCTAACCTAACCTTACCTATCCCTTCAATGGTCAAACGTCTATTGGTCATTAAGTTATTTAAGTTTAAGTCAATTGGTTTTTAGGTCAATTTGCCAGTTCCCTTATGTTTGTGTTGTTTTTGATGTCTAATAGTACTATACTGTATATAATAAGTTAATGCGGCATTTGCTCTATAAAGATAGTTAGCTTTTATTACCATTTTATATATTTTAAAATATAGATATTAAAAGAAAAACATAAAATACATTTATAGAAATGAATTGTCATAGGACATTTAGGACAAATTGTTTTGAAATTATAGAAATGAATTGTCATAGGACATTTAGGACAAATTGTTTTGAAATTTTAGAAATGAATTGTAATATGGGAAGCCCATTGTAACTCAATTCAATTCTAACACATATTATACTTAATTAAGAAAACCGAGTCTCAACCCTTTGTCAAACATTTTATATAAATATTAAGAAAATGAGCCTAATCAATTTTGGTGAGAGTTTCGTATTAGATAAATATTTAAAATAATAGAATTTAATGGAATTAAATTTTAAAATTACAATAATATTGTAAAACATATGTAGTACATATTATGTACTCAACAACTCTTTAAATATACCAACAAATTATTTATAAACTTTATATAATACCATATAATTACGGTACTAGACAACTACATGTAATATAATTATGTTAAATAATATGCTAATTCTGTATTTCACTAATTGTTTTATAATAATATGAGTGCACAGTTGTTACACTAGTTTACAGTATACTTGTAATGAATCCCAATATTTAATATTTTTACTACAAGACATGAATTTTTAATTTTGTATTAATCATATCAATTAGGTGGCATGCATAAAGTACGTACGCACACTGAGGGGTAGAGGGGTAATGACAAAGTGCATGTCACTGTATAAGAAGGGAGTATAAAGAGTATAAATACTGCTGATACATTTTCTAAAATATACTTCAACTTACATTTAGTATTACAATTATAATAGAAATTTATTTAGAAATTTAGACTAAAATGATGACGACTTCCAGAGATTTCACGGCAAAAGTAGTGCTGATCACCGGCTCAAGCAGTGGTATCGGTGCTGTCACTGCCGTAGAGTTCGCTCGACTCGGGGCTCAAGTGGTAGTCACCGGTCGCAGGAGGGATAGGGTGTCCGCTGTGGCCAAACAGTGCGCTGAGGCGTCGCCTACCGGTGCAAAAGCCCTGGAAGTGGTGGCCGATGTCACCAACGACGACGACTGTCGCCGATTAGTCTCCGACACTATTAAGACGTTCAAAAAGTTGGACATTTTAGTCAACAACGCGGGTCGGGGTGTAGGGTCGAGCATAAGGGACGGGGATATCCTCGATAAGTATGAGCTCATTATGAACACAAATCTCCGGTCAGTCGTACGGTTGACTCACTTATGTGTCGAGCATTTGGAGAAAACTAAGGGTAATATCATTAACATGTCAAGCATTTTGGCCATTAAACCGGTATTTATATTATATAACATAGTGACGGAAAACGACATGAAAATTAGTGTGACCAACTCGAAACTTAGAATTTCGGGATTTTCATATAAATATTTATTAATATTCCAGGACAAATGTTTTAAAGCATATTTAGAATATTATTTTTTATACATTATTAACATAACAAATATAGTTAAATCTATTTTAAAACATCAGTATATAGATTTAACTACAATAATTATTCAGAATATTATTACCAGCATTTAAGCATTAAAACGTGGTTTATCAAATCACTCTGTACTACCTCCACACACACCCCCCACTCCTTTAACATAACCCCATAGACTTAACAAGTTGGTCACACTAGTTTTCTTGCCCTGTTTCGTCTCTATGTTATATAAAAACCAATTTATTATATTTTTAATTTTTATATTATATAAGTTATATACTTGATCATTCAATATATTGCCCATTAGAATTTATTTAAATAGCAAAATCCAGTCTACTATTAATCCTAGTATAAAATTAGGTTATTATAACATCTGCTCATTTTGAAGCTATCTTTTTTCATACATTTTTACATACAGTACATACTTATTGAATGACCTTAAATAAAGATTGCTAAAATAATTTAATATTAAATTAATTTGTCAATAGAAAGGGCTTTTCCATTACTCAATGTCGAGGGCGGCGCTGCAAATGTTCACAAAGTGCGTAGCGCTTGAGTTGGGCCCCAAAGGCATCCGGGCTAACGTTGTCCAGTATGTGCTTATATTTAATTGGATAATACAATATATTAATGTTCTTGTTACTTTCAATATTTTTACTATGAAAGTCTCGGTCCCACAAACACAGAGGCTATGAGAGTGCGTCTAATAGCAAATAATGTAATATCTGATGATATAATGGAGTGGATGGCAAAGATCCCGTTGGGACGGGCGGGTGAGCCCATGGATGTGGCAAAAGTTTTGTTGTATTTGACGTCAAATGACGCGTCGTTTGTGACCGGATCCAACTTCGTGGTCGACGGAGGCCTACACACTGTATAACCCCCAACACTATTACCATGTTTAATTAGTCTAGATCACTGGTTATCAATTTGTCACTTAAGTGACAACTAGCCTTGTAACAACTTTGAATTATAAAGCATTTGATTCAACACTAGTTATTTTATTTATTAATATCACCTTACTCACCTTACTAATCAATATAATATTTTAT